TTTTGTTTTATTAAAACAGTAAGCAGAAATAACAAATTTGTAACTGAATCTGCTTTATACTGTATCACTGATGATGAAGATAAATTTAGAGAAGTCATCTACAAAGGCTTTACTGCAAATGCTGAATCGTTAATAAATGATTTTGAAAAAAATTCGATTGTACATGTAGTAGAAAGATACATTTATCATGATAATGTTAAATATATAAGTTTGATTCTACTCTAAAATCTCAAAAGAGATTTTTTTAAAATAATATAAAAATGACTATATTAGCCAACATGATAACTAATATTAGCAAACTTTGTCATTATTATGTTTTTTTCAATCATCCATCTTTCGTAATTTTAAAGTAATAACCAATTCAAACTTTTTACTTATCTTGTATTAAGATTAGCCTTATCCAAACTGTTCCAATTTTATCCTCTCATACTGACTCCATGCTTACACCAAAAGATCTTTCTTACGCTTTTCCCTTATTATTATACACCGCTCTAGCTGTAACCAATTCTTACAAATCTAATAAAAGTATAGGTCACCAAAGTTTTATGTTATTAAAAAACTTTATAATGTAGTGACTAGCCAAAAAGCTATAGATTCTGATATTATCGTATCCTATACAAATGAAAATAGCTGTTACAATTCTCTTAGAAACTTTTTAAAAAAAACTATACTTTCTGTAATCGAACGATTTAAGCTTAGTCCTCAAAGCAAAGTACCTTATATAATTTTTTCCGAAATTGAATAGAGTTATGCAGCCAATGACACTCAATCTTCAACCTTATCTCTGAATAAAAAATTAAAAGCATGTAAAGAATTTAATAATCAGCTTAACTTTATTGAGAAACAATATATAACAATGAATTCTCAAGCTTTCAATAAAAAAAAAAAATTTATCTCTTTTACTTCTACGTTAAACTCTTTCAAAGATAAAGCTCTGATCATTGATCTTACTACCTTAGTGTCTCAAATCTAAAACAATGAATCTATGTCCCAATCCTTCTCAAGCGCATCCGAACACATTCCTAACTCTCCCTAGCAACCATCCTCAAACACATCTTAACACATCCTTAACTTTTTCTAGCAACTCTCTATCATTCTTCAACAACCCTTACAAACACCCCAACAATTCACAACTATGCCCCAGCAAACCTCTACTAACTACCAACTATCCTTTAAC